TTTTTTTTTGAAAAATCACAGAAAAGTCAGGTAGAGATTTTGTTCCAAGTGTGCAACTTACTCTAATAGAGTGGTCCATCGAACCAGAGTACACTCTGTTACCTCCGACCACTAGTGTAACAACAGCAAGAGTATGGCCCTTGAGTGATGCAGCTGGTTCAAAGCAATTAGCAGCTACATTGAATTTCCATGCCAATATTGTCCCATCCTGCCACCAGTTAACAACGGTCAGAATAATAAGACAAGTGCATCTGGAAACCTCCAGCTTTTCCAAACTGCAACTCATTTTAAGAGTAGAACTCAAGAATCAGAAAATTAAGTCATCAATTAAGGAAAAGGATATAAATAGAAATTCCCTACTGCTACACACAAATATATTATCTGTTAGATGTGATTGTCATTGTCCGTCTAACGAATATTATCTTGAAATAAAATTACAGTGACCCAAAAACAAAATGACTACTGACAATTTATTGTTTTCCCAAAAACATACCTGTGTACCAGCAAAGAGCATATCATTGCCAACAACAAGGGAATATACTTGTCCAACAGGTCCATTTAAACTGAGATCTGTAGATGTTTGAATATTCCATGCCTGGTACACAACAGCGAAATGAATAAAATAATTCGCGAAAAGTCTATATGAACTGTTGATATTTCTCTGATGAGATATAATCTTGATAGTCAATAAGATCTAGACTTTACAAATTGGTAAAATGAAAAATAAAGTCCTACAAAAGTTAAGTGTTGTAGTAACACAAAGTATAGATTAAATGATCTATTTGTGGTCAGGAGACAAGAAACAAGGGCCTCACACTCTATTTTTCTTTTCTAGAATTATTAATTATTATATGTAGGGGAGTTGTGTAAGTGAACTTATACTCAACACGAGCAAGTACGCTCACACAATATATATATATATATATATATATATAGAGAGAGAGAGAGAGAGAGTTATTGAAACAATAATATAGTTGACTTAAATAAAGGGCAAAAAGTATAAAGTTACATTTGTTGCTTATCTTACCTTGACAAGATTTGTCAAACCCACGAATACCCATGGTCCTTCACTTAGCATACAGCCTACTGAACCTCCCACATTCACTGAGGCTGAAAGCTGTTAAGAGAGACCAAAAGGCAAATACCAAGAAAAATTTAAGTGCATTTCCGGAACACTTCAAAACAAAAAGGCATTAATAGGAATATGGATTCTTTTAGAAAGTTCTTATGCTGCTTGTTATATCATTAAATATTCAGTAAAAGGAATCTATTGTTACAGTAAAAAAAAATAAACAATGACAAATTTGCAATGCTCCTAAATGAACATTCAGAAAATCGACTTCAGCCAAATTCTGTTCAACATAACTACCATAAGTAATATCTTTCTAAAGACTCATAAATCTGCAGGGTGATTTGCAACAACTTAATAGGTTTCAATGAATCCTAATCGTAGCCATTAGAAAGGGACAACGGTGTTAAAACTACAGAGGTAACAAACAAATATCCATATGCTTTATGCGACAACATAAAAGCACCTAAAAATTGAAGAAATTCACCAATATACCAAACATCTTGAGTTCTTATGAAAAAAAATATATTAAAAAAAAATGCTTACATGACACTGAGGCTTCGCTGGGAGTTACAATTCAAACATAAAGCACTTTAAACTGAAGCTCGAAGCCTCAAGATTGCCTCAAGCTTCTTACGAGCCACAATCTCTGTCACAGGTATTCAAAAGCTCCAGCACACCATCTTTTGTAATATTTTTTATGTTTCAGAATTAGTAACAATACCCAAAGTAACATGATCGTCCTCCTATCAAGTATCATTACAATTTTACACATACGAATAATAAATTCATATTGTCATAAAAGTTATACAAAACTATACATGTTTTTGGTTATGATAACATAAGTAAAAAGAACTATCCCCAGCATTTTAAGATCAAAATTACTTATTACAAAAGGTCATCTCAGTTTTCTAAAACTTGATCTCGACACGTCTCAACTCTAAATGACATGATAGTGTGACCGATACTTTTCATATTGTTCAAGCTTGCACCAAAATTAACAAACTGGATGAGACCCTGGCTCAAAACATGTAAGTTTAAGCTTGAAGGTGCTATTTCTAGTACATGGATCCAAAACACGTCCTTTGCTACAAGCTACCACCTCTTGCAAACAACCACTTCCCGTAGAGTTGAGTACAGAAACTCTCACCCATGAAGTACATAAATTTACAAAAGTAATATTCACTCAAAATGAGAAAGATTATTCAAGGATGAAAATTTCTGCATTTATTACTTGCAGCGTGCCCACAAAACTTAGGTGGAATAAAATAATATGATTAAAAAATATGTACCAACCTGACCAGATTGACAGTCCCAAACTTTGACAGTCTCGTCTTGACTACCGGTGTAAAGCTTATCAGAACCCAAAGGCAGAGCAATCCCAGTCACAACCTGATAAATGAAGTCTTTTATTCGATAAAATTCTAACAGAATGCTCAAAGAACCATACATGCCCAAAAAGACTCATTTTTTACTATTAAAAATAATAATTAAATAACTTTTGAACCGGAATCATTACAGGAAACAAAAATAAGGTTTACCAATGGACACGCTCAGCAATACAACCACAGCTATCCAGATCAAATACCGAAAGGAAACAACAGGATGGGGCAAAATTCCAAACTTCGACTCGTCAGAACAATATACAATCCAATGATGAAAAACCTACCTGTCGGTGCCCTTCAAGCATCGTCAACATCGAAAAGCAATCCCCTGTAGACCATTGATGCAAGTACTTACACGCATCTCCGAATTTACAGCTCCCTTGTACCCAGTGATTACACAATTTCTCAATCTTCTTCACAACGGACCTACTAACAGGCTGCTGCGACTGCACCCTCCCCCAGCTGTTGTTATTACTAAAATTATAGTTCCCACTCCTCCTCAATCCTCCACCTCCACCTCCACCTCCACGATAATTATCTTCCTGTCCAAACCCCTGATGGGCCCTCTTACCATTAGCCGCCGTTGGCAGTTCGCTGTGCAGAAATGGGCAGGGAAATCTCGTGCACTTTCCTTGTCTCCAATGAAAACACACCTTCTGTTGCTTATTATTATGGTGATTATTGCTGTTATCAGTCGAAGAAGACGGCCCAAGCCTGTTGAAGATTCGTCTTCCACCGTCTACGTCCATGGCCAATTACACTGTAAATAAATTTGCAACGATAAGGGGAATTTGAGCAAAGATTTTCTTGATGAATTTGAGCAAACTTGTGATTCGGTTGGGATGTGATCATGTGATACTTAGGGGGTAGGATGAGTACGAGATGGCACGATCAGGAAGATTGGGGGATGAGATCGAATTAGGGTTTTGAAAGGGATTTTGTAAACCCTAATTTGGGAACCGAAGGACGCTGATTCGGAGTTCTGGTAAAGATAGATTTTGGGATGACAAAAAGCGTTGATTGTCTCGTGTCCTGATTTTAGTACACGACAAATGTTGATGTCACTTCTACTTTTGTATTTTTGTATTGTATTGTACCCAATTTAAATACAAGTATTTTAATTAAATTGCACATTTATGTCTATATCTATATCTATATATACTAATGTTGATACCCGTGCGATGCACGGGATATACTATAAATTAATATTTTATTATTCAAATATTGTTAATTTATTTTAAACAACATAGTAATTATATCCGACTCAATATGTCAAGTCAGTAATAATACAAATTTTGTTTGAAAATCTATTTTAATTTATTTGTACATGTTTTGACTATTTAATTTTCCCTCCTGGTTCCACACGTACCAACTGGTGGAGACCCACACTAGGGCACCCCTCCCGTACCTCGTTGAGATCCCTCCGGTAGATCCATATGTGCCTTCCTCTTGAAAGGGAGGAATGCCTTCGAGCGTGGGACACAGGTGGCTTCGAAGGCTTTTGCTATGCCACATGTCCCTGGTCTGACCGCCTACCTTTTTTTTGAGTGAACTTTCTTCAGGAATGGGGTCGATAGTTTGTTTTCCTTCAAAGAAGGAACAAATCTTGGGCTAGCATATAAATATTACAATTTATAAGTTTGTAAAATTGTATCAATATCTAGATTTTAAATATGATGTTTGTATACAAATTGTTTACATACACTTCTAAAATTACTGATTGTCTTGATCTTATAACTTTTTCAACAATTCTATTTTGCATATTGTTCGATAGCTAAATAATGTTATAACCCGTAAAATTTAATTTCCATTATTATAATTTTAGATGCATGAAATATTAATTGTTTGATAATTAAATATAAATTGTAGTAACTTTAATCGCTTATGCAACAAAATTTTCATAGTAAACTATTTTTTTTTTAATTTTTCGTCTATAGTTATATATGTAGTAAATTTATTCAACATATATAATGAGTGTATTATATCCAATTTAAATGTTTAGATAAATTATATATTTCGATTATTATCAAATGCTATAATTTTAATTATGAAATTTAATTATTATCCTATTTACTCATTTTTTTATTACATAGTATATAATAATAAGTATACTTTTTTCACAACTTAATTGATTTTTTATGTATATAGATATTTTTAATGTAAAACTTATAATTATTAATTTCACTCGACCGTCAAATAAAAATTTTTCTAACATATTAAATTTACCTTTCAATAGTATATCTAATAAAATAATATTTTCGAAGGAGATATATTTTTTAATGGTTATGTTTACTATATTTTAGCAAATTTTGTTATTACTGTAAAATATTCATTAAGTTAATATGATTCAAACACATTTATTCTGATTACTTGTTTGATATTTTAAGTGCTTTTGAACGGTTAACATAATTAATAAAATTCATATCTACAACCATACGATGATAATATAATTAATCAAATCAATATTTCATAATTTGAATAGTTTTTTAATTGTGTCAAAAAATTACTACGAAATCAATATTAGGATCTTTTTGAAAATATATGTAATCAATCAATATTCTATTTAAGTCAATTTATAACTAATGAATATTAGTCAATGAGTAAACAAAAAATAATTAATGTTCATATATAAAATTTGTTAATAGATGAATATATGCTAAATATAGATGAAAATATTTTCCCGCCTAAAACTATGTCAATTTATAGTAATAAAAATTGGTCCATTATATAGATATAGATATAATAAGATTTACTATTTATCAAAAATAGTAAGAAAAAATTCATCTAACATTAAATGCATGCCATTTTGGGCAAGTTTTAAAAAATTTTAACAATCAAATCGGGTAGCATTGATGCACCCTATAATTGTGGGTTTTGTTTAATTAATTATGAAAAATTTCAGCCAACGTTTATTTATTTTTTAAATTAAAAATATTTTCTCATTTTTGAATCGAACTGCATTCCAAAGTCCTTAATTTAAGGAGTCTGTTCAATGTTGATTTAGTTTTTAAATTAAAAATCCTCTTATTTTCTTATTCGAACTCCATTCAGAAGTCCTTAACTTAATAAGTTTGTTCAATATTGATTTAGTTTTTAAAATTAAAAATCCTTTTTCATTTTTGGAATCTGCATTAAAAAATCCTTAAATTAAGGAGTTTGTTCAAAAAAAAAATCTACTAAATAACTCAAAAGCCATAGAGAAAATTTCGAATAATTTGAATTCCCTAAATTGAACTTTTTTTTTTAATTAAGGTAATTACGCATTTACATACTATTCTTAGAAATAATATAATACAATTTAAATAAATTAAATTTATTTCATTAATTGCATTCAAAATATTGGACATATAATTCAGCTATTAGTTTGAGTTTGTATTTGTCAATTCTCAATTGTATAAAAAAGATGATATATATTATTAAAATATTCACTTGCTGATACCATGAAAGATGTTGTAGCACAAATTATTCTTTTTACCGAGTACCGAATCGAAAGATCCGTTCTCCTGGTCGGTCTCACGAGGAGGGCGGTTCGGAATTTAGCTTTGATATTGATAACACGTAAAAAAAAAATAAATCCTAAACACTCTAATCAGATAAAGATTGGATATTATCAACTAAGAAACAAAGAACAATGCAAAAATATAAATCTGCCTAAAAATAAGAGTGAAAAAAAGACAGAGAAGCTAGGGAATCGGGGATAATTAATTCAAGTTATATTTGCAAATCGGGACATTAATCGTTCAATTTCAGATTGACGCTCTCACTTAAACATCTAGCGGTTTTCTCCCAATAACTCTTCGTAACAAGGGATTGAACATAGACGAGTAAGCTCGAGCATACAATACACGCCAATTATCCCAATCCCAATAACTTTTCGTAACAAGGGACGGGTCACCGACGAGCACGTATTTCAATCCACAACATATAGACTATTCAGTTACGAAATTATCTACCTCATGCGAGCCTAGGTCTACGACTTCTCCCCTTTTGGTTCTAAAAGTTACTAATTCGATTAGAAGAGGTTTAATCAACTAATCATATGAATAGGGTTGTCAGAAAAACCCACCGGGTCGGGTTACCCGCGGGTAACCCGAAAAATCGGGTCGGGTATACCCGATAAGAGCGGGTTTTGGGTCGGGTTTGGGTTTTTCTTTTGTACCCGGAGACCGGGTCCGGTCGGGTACGGGTTTACCAAAAAACTCATCACCCGACCCGTTTACCCGGTGGGTTTTTTCTACCCGACCCGATTTTTTACCCGCACACTTAATTACTATAGATACAAATAAATATACAAAAAATATATGTTCCAAAAAAAAATAATTTAGTAACTAAAATATTTTAAAATTTTTTTATATATTGAAAAATGAATATGGAGTATATTCATATAATTTGGACATAATATTTTGTTACTTCTTCTATTTTTATAAGTATGAGCATCACATATATAAATATGATCAATTTATATTATTTATATAAAAAAAGAATAACTCTAATTATTATAAATGACATATATATAATAAATAATAATAAACAAGATAATAAGTTTATACGGGTGTAGTTTGTTTTATATATTTACA